GAGATTGAGAGGAATTAGCAGCATAAACCGCATGGAGTCATGTCACCCTCTGGTGGACACACCGAAGCCGAACGGCTCTGATAGAAAATGAAACAGGTCATAAAAGCATCAGAAACACAGATGATTGCAAACATTCAGGGAACCTCGAGGCTCCTGTCTGTTAGTGATGTGTCGGTTGCGAACAAAATGGCTCTTAGAGCCGGATCTTTGACGTGAATGACGGGAGCCGGCTCCTTATTGCGAGCTGTGGGGTTTTTTTTCTTTCTCTCACCCTCTCTCTCACACTTTTTTCCGCACAAGGCTCACATGCGGATGAGGGGGAGGGGCGGAAGTTACACTCTCAGTAGCACAGGAGCGGGGGGTGACATTAGAAAGGTATCCGGTTGTTCAGTCTGACGTCAGTAGCCGTGTCTGGGTCTAAACTCCGCTGCAGGTCCATATATCAAACGATCCCTATGGCATTACTGAGAGTTGAAAAACTGTCTAGTCTTTCATCTTTAATAAAATGATCAGCGTTCTGCTCTACCAGGTGTAACAATTGAGTTTAGCATCCAGGCATCCATGAAAACGGAATTTATGACATTTAACGGAGTTAGAAGTTAGCAGGAAGTTAGCTCGCTAGCTTCTATCTAAATACAATATAGCATGTCCTGACTGCGGGATTTTGGAAACAAATTCAAACATACAGCTCTGTTATCACTTCCAGCATAAATGAAGACAGAAAACTAAACAGCAGTGACGTTTGTAGGGTTACTGAAGTTGGGCTAGCTGGTATATAATGATGTCCTACGTTACCGCTAGCGACACAGCTATGTTAGCATAATATAAACAAGCTAACTTTTTTTCCACTCGATAAAAGTTAACGTGAGTGTTGTCGGTGGTCAGGAACAAATGTAATCGCATGGCAGGATGCTGTAAAAGGACAAAACTTCAGCCAGGAGAACAACTGAGATAATCCATCCACAATACGAGGTTAGTCATTCATATACTGCTGCATGGGCTGGGCTGTAGTTACACCCTAAGGTTTTAAAAACTGAGCTTAAATAAATGATTAGCGGTAATAAAAGCCGAGGGAGGTCAACAGTGATCGCTGACTGTTTTAGGAGCTTTTTGAGATCAAATATAAGAAAATACAAAACATTAAACATGTTAACACAAAAGCCATATTAAACGCAGACTACTTTAGACCCGGAAGTAGGATTCGTCGCGTCATCACTGAACAACCGGATAGTAATCAGCCACAACTATTTGCGGATGATAAAGGATTCAGAAAGTTTATTCATGCAGGTCCATATGACAGAGAATATGCATCTTCTTTTTGTTTTCATATTTTAATTTATATTTAATTGTGTTGTGGTTTGCAGTGTTTTGTGTTGTTTCACTTTAAATTTGTTAAAGGAAAAAGCTGAAAATTTAAATAGTTAAAAATTGAAATGTGAATAGTTGGTTTTTGTATTATATGATTTATTTATTACATTTTATATGGAGTGAAAAAATAAAAGTATATTTACGGTGGCCCCTACAGACAAAAGACAAAAACTCCAAAACATGTAAAAACTCAGAAGCACGTAAAACCTCAAAACACGTACAAAACACAACAGAAGTGTTCCAGGATGTTAGGCGCAGTGTTGAGCTTTTGTTACCTAGTGGCTACACAAGCCAGCAAGTACCAACAACCGGATTTGGTGTGTGGTAGTAACAGGCAAATGAACATTTTTTTAAATTATTTGAATATATATGAGTGCTTGTGTATAAATACACAAACAATACACATATGCTTTCAATTATGTAATTTAAGTGATCTAGGTAGCTCTGTTTTGGAAGTTCAGTTCATGCTAGAAATGTGTTTTGGAGTTTGTACGTGTTTTGTCTCTAGGGGCCACCGTAAATATTTATATATAAACATATAATAAACTTTATTTATAAAGCACACTTAAAAAAAATATATATATATAAATAAAACCACTTTTTTTTACATTAGTAATTCCTTTTGTGCATAATTTTATATTATTGTTAATAATAAATTAATTACAGCAACAAAACAACCTGAAGAGCCGGTTCGGAGCTGAAAGAGCCGGCTCTTTTTAGTGAGCCGAACCGAAAGAGCCGGTACTCTAAAAAGAGCCGGAAATCCCATCACTACTGTCTGTGCTACTGACTGTCCACGCTGTAGTTTGCTGCTAAATTAACTGCTATTACTACAAATAACTGGAGTCATAACTGCATTAATTCCCTCTGTTTAAACCAGTCGTGAGTTCTTTTACATGCTTTCATAAAGTGAACGTGTATCTGAGAGGATTTCCTCTTAGCTAAACAGCCACATGCTGCTTTTAGGCTCTAGATGTTTTTGGGGACTTTACTTCATATGTGATGGCACAAAGATGAAGGTTTCCAATCGACCAATCAATCCCCCATAAAGAGTACTTTGGGGGGGGGGGGTTATTACCTGTGACACATCAGAAATGTTGACCATCTTCTTGCTGGTGGCCACGTGGCCCACGATGCCCATATCCAGCGGGTACACGATTTCACTGTCGGGTTGCACGAGGCACTCGTCAAAAATGGCGTCTTTATGAACGTTGAACAACCTGAAGGTAAATATGGAGACAGAAACGTGACCCAGGGTGACCAGGCCCTCTCTGACCTCACTAAGTGCTGGAAAGAAGGAAATCCCAGTGTGCTCCATCACTGGTTCCTGAGGAGGAAGCTTGACCTCCGAGATAATAAACATGTCCAAGCTTCATGCTTACATTTAAAATCTTTCAATTGCCCCAGGGGGACAAATAAAGCTATCAGCATCGCTGCTACCTGCACTGCTTTCAGACACTGAAGTGGGTCTGCAATCACCTGGTGGCGAGCTCAGCGACGCCGTTCCTCTGCCGGTACATAAAGAGACTCATGCGATCCACCCGCAGCATGAAGCTGAGGTGCTTCATCAGCCTGAAAACGGACTTCTCCATGTTCAGGTTATCCTGGATGTCACGCACCAGATCGATGAGGATCTCGCTCTCATCCACCATCGTCAGCTCATGAAACGTGCTAATGTTTACTGCCGTCTTGCGGTTGGGATCCAGCAAGTCCGAGATGATCTTAGGCCGGAAGTTCATGTCAAAGTACTGCTTGGCAAACTGCGGGTTGGCATCGAGGAACTGCTCTGCTGCTGCTGCATCCACCATGATTACTGCTGACAGGGGGCAAAGCTGATTGGAGGAGTGCTTCTACGAAAGACAACAAATAGCAGATGAGTTTAATACTGAGAGAAATATAATTTCGTGCAACAGAAGAAGAAGAGAAACTGGATTTGTTTCTGGGCTGAAGCCAAAACAATGAGCTAAAAGATGCTGAAGGGCCTTTGGCTTTTCTCAGCATTTTACTCTCAGAATACAGAATGTGGTGTGAAAAGCTGGCATCACCATCCTTGCTCTGCACATACTTTTATCAATCAAACCATAAAATAACATAACAATGTAAAAACAGTTAGCAAGAATAAGGCGGCTGTACCTGTGAAAGTCCTCCTGCTGTCTCCGGCTAATCCGTCTGTGCTGCAGATGTCTGAGAGGAGAGAAAGGATTACAGGGATGGTTTTAAATGGTCATGTGTGGACATAAGCCTGTGTCCAATTACATCTTGGGGATTATATGCCTTCCAGTGTTCAACTTCTTTCTGTGTCTCAACAAAACTCTGCTAACACTCGCTGATCTTCTTCAGGACCAAGAAAATTAATATTTCTCCAGTTTTCCGTTTACTGGACGGTTTTTGGTTCATGCATCCAACCAAAGGCCTCATAACACACTTCATGAGTCAGCCACACGCACATTTAAACTACCACTCAGCATCGACTGACCAACGCACATCATTTCAGAATAACTTTGCGAGGTTCAGTTTTCAGTTTGAGCCTTGAAGGACTGAATGTTCTCAAGTATTTTAGTGGAAAAAAAACTCTCAATCGTCTCTTTCAGTGTAACCACATTCCTCTGAAACGCACTCAGACGTCAGTGTGTCTCAGCATAAAGAAGCAGTGTACGTATGACCTGACACACCAGCAGCACACGTGCTGTGCCGGCACACGGAGTCCTCGGTGTGCTGCAGGACAGTTTAAGGTTAATGGGGACGCGAGACCAACGAAGACAGGCCGGACACAAACTATGTGAGTAAGTCTGACCGTGCTCAGATACACAGATCACATGACCCGTGTGACATGCAGTGAGTGGAAAAGCTGGACAGTCAGGGACGTGTCTATCTTTCCATTTCTCTGATTTCTTATCAAATGTTCAAATTCACACGCGGTGTGCTGGAAAGGAGAAACAGGTCCCTGAATCACCTACGTGTACTGCAGGGCGTGTATGCACGTGTGCCACTCGTTCTGTCTGAGAGCACGTCAGCGAGCTGACGGCGGACGTGTGAGCTCTCTGAATGCTTTGTGTTGGGTATCATGTTTCCTCTCTGACCTCTGACTCTGGGGTGAGAATTTTGGGGGACATCATTTGTCTCCCCAAATTCTGCAGCTTTCACAGACAGCGAGTTTGAACTCTGAGTCTGCTTTAACTTTGCGATGCCCACCCAGTGTGGTCACGACACAACCCCCGTCAGCCTTACACAACTGAGGACAAAATGAAAAGAAAGAGCTGAACCAGGTTTGCTGTGAGAACAGTCATGATGACTGACAGATATCCGTGTGTTTGTAATAAAAGCATCCAGCTCTTCTGGCCTGACGACTGTAGGGTGATATTTTTCACTTATCCTTGGACTCCAGGCGATTAGCGCATGCCTCACACCCACAGACTGTAAATAACAATGCAAACTTCTTGAACTCATGCCAGATCAAATAGCTGTAAGAACCTGTAACAGGAGCTGTACTGCCCATCCCCACTTCTAGTGGGTTGAACCTGAGATTCTGCCGTGTTTGAATCCAGGAGGACACGACGGTAAGAAAGAGGAACAAATTTTTAGGAGCTTCAGTTCACAGACCAACGAGACAAACGAGGTGGATCAGAATACTTTAATATCAAAGGAAATTCATTTGTCATTATTAGGTAACAAAAAAACAAAAACTAAAAAAAACTTCCACTAGAAAACAGGGAAAAGGGGCGGAGTCTAGTGATGTGTCAGAACAGTCAATGGTCAGAACAGTAGGAACCTGTAGATGAGTGCAGGTGAAGAGGCACAAACATCATTTCTACATGTTTCTGAGGGAGTGAAGAACGTCCACACACAAGTGTTTCCAGGGTTCATTGTCCTGCTGGAGCTCCATCTCAGCCTTTGGTCGCTGACAGTTCACCTGGCCGTGCTTCGCCAGTATCCTGGCAAACACAGGTGTGAGTTTTGACCTTTTCTTTAAGAAAAGGTGAAGCTATTAGATCTGCTGCCCCCTCCTGATCGGGTCTCGGGACAGTCAGGCTCATCAGTAACTTTGCGCATGTACGCAGCTCGTGTGACGTAACACGCTCCGTTCCACGCCATCACGCACGGAGTTGCGGCGGGGCGGAAAACAGATCCGCTGCGGGATTGGAGCGGACGGTGAGCGGCAGGGACGGCTCATATGGACTCGGTACCGGCACCGGGATCCAGCTCAGGTGAGTCCCCGCGCGAGTGAACGCCGCCTTGCTCCCGGTGTGCTGCGGGTTCGCGTGCGTGCGGCAGCTCGCGCTCAGGTTTGTTCCTGTCCACGTTTACACTGTTTACAAAGGAGCCATTCACGCCGGTGTTCACACCGGCTCCCCTGAGCCCCCACGGGAAGTGACAAGCCTTTGAAAACGGCGTCCTCGTTTCACCGTGACGCTCAGTAACGTTCTGCTCATCACACAACACAGCGCGCCGCCGTACTTCGTGACGTCACCGCAGTAGTCCGCTCGTGCCACGCTCTCACACCGGCTGTCCAGGTGAGGCAGAGGCACGCGTGCACCTGGATCAGTCAGCGCAGGGAACACCGGCAGCGTGCACCACCTGTAACCCGATTAGCACGTCACACCGTCAGATTCCGCTGCTGCTCACGGAGGGTGGAGGTGCTCAAAAGGCCTTCATCATGATGATGTTGGTGTTTTGTGTGAGTGAGTGAGAGAGAGTGTGAGAAGGAGTGTACTACGTTTACAAATCTTTGTGGGGACCAACATCCTGGGGACAAAGTGTCCGTCCTCACGAGTTTGAAGGTATTTTTGACACTCAACATGTGGTTTTAGTGTCATTGCTACAGTTGTTGTTACGGTTATAGTTAGGTTCAGACTCAGGGTTAGAGTAAGCGGCTGGGGAAAGCATTATGTCAACTAGATGTCCCCGCAAAGATACGAAAACACGAATGTGTGTGTGTGAGAGCGAGAGTGAGCATGTGTGTGGTGGGAAGCGGAGTAAGTTACCTCCATCATCACCAGTCAGAGGGCGATGGTTAATCATCGTGGTTCAATAATGTCACAAGATACCGATAAGATTAAAAATAAGAGACAGATAACGATAAAAAAAAGAGTTAACCATTAAAAATAAAAGGGAGATAACGACTTAAAAAAAGAGAGATAACGACTAAAAAAAATTAAATGGAGAGATAACAATTCAAAATAAAAGACAGATAACGACTAAAAAAATAATGATAAAAAAGAGCTAAAAGAGAGATAATGATTACAAGTAAAAGGGAGATAATGATTATAAAAATAAATGAGAGATAACGCAAAATTTAGAGCAGCAGTGTCTGTAACATGCAGGAGGAATGGTCAACAGCCTGAAGGAGAGAATTCTTCAAATTGCAGATGAATATCCAACTGTGACAAACATTGTTCTGCATACAGGGTCAAATGATGTGTCCAAACAACAGTCGGAGGTTCTGAAACGGGACTTTACTAGATTACTAAATACTGTAAACTCTCTGAATGCAGCTGTATTCATCAGTGGACCTGTACCGCCCGTCAGAGGAGGAGACGAGAGATTCAGCAGGTTGTTTACACTGAATAAATGGCTTATATCAGCATGTGCTGACCACTCAGTGCATTTTATCAACAACTTTAATATTTTTTGGGAATGCAGGCATCTGTTTAACCCTTTAAGACCTACCATAGAACCAAGTCCGCCAGAGCTTATATTATATTTTTACATGGTGTGGTGCCATTTTTGGGAGCATTTCAAGTTGCTATACATCAATACAACAATTATAGCCCAGATTTTAATAATATGTATTCATTAAGTGCATAGTAATCACATAAATTGCAAAAAAGTGCAATAAACTACAAAAAAATTTAAAATCGTTTTTGTTTTTTTAACATATATTTCTAGTTAGAGAAATTTAAGAGGCTTATCCCTCAAAACTGTAAATACAAAAAAGTTGCACAAAATAGTTTCCTACCACAGGAAATTTATTTTGAGTGTCTTCATAGTTTTATTTTTGAAATACACCAATTTTTATACACTGCAGGAAAAACGAAAATAAATATTATACTGCAAATTTGCAAAAAAGCAGCATATGCATCAAAATAAACTATTTCCAGCAGTGCAATATGAGTCCTAAGCATCCCAGAAACGACACAGAAAGTCATGAAGTCAAAGATAACTTTTAAAAAATCCAGTATAGGCCCTGACGCCCTGATGGTAAAAAAAAAACTACATTTCCGCGAAAATGACATCACTTCCGGTTTCGGGCAGGTAATGGCGGACATGCAAAAGTTCGTGCTGACGTCTATTCCAACGTAGGAAGTGTTACAAACAGCTGATCGGATCGGCAAAGCCTGTTTCTGGAATATTATGTTTTTGTTGCTGTAAGCGCTTTTTATGCAGTTTTTGCAAAGCTTTATGTGGAAGGAAACTGTGACCGAGGACAAGCTGATGGCATAAGATGTAAGTACAACTCCTCCGGTTTCATATGCAAAAAAAATTATTGCGCTAGCTTACGTGGTTGCAGAGCTACCGGGATTTAAAAATAGTTATGCAAAACAGAGCGTGCCCGCTCCGACCGGCTCTAAAGGGTTAAAGCAAATGGATTTAATTTTAACAAGTCAGGGGTGAAACTGTTCACCTCCAACTTGTTTTATTCCATACGTCATCCATCTGTGCTTGGTGCCAAGGCTGAGATAAACGAGGAGTTATCTCATAAAGAGGAACAAACAGTACTCCAAGAACAGACAAAGCCCAGCAGAAACCTTGAGGAGGAGCTCCATTTGCCCCCACCCGGGAAGAGCCTCAGAAAGGAGAGACATCTGAGGCAAGAAGAGGGGTCCCTATTTGCCTCCAACTCTCTCAACAACACCAACGACCAGGACCAGGGACCACGATCTTCCCCAGTCCCCCAAACCCCTGACAGGCCATCACCCCCATCACCCTCCTCCCCCTCCCTTTCTCCCTCCTCCCCACACATAAAATTCACTGAGGAGATGATGGAGCGGGTCAATGCTGGGCTCAGATCTACCCCCCGGCCCAATCCCTTTTTGTCCCCCATAAACCCCCCACCAGAGCGGCCAAAGGTTCGCCATCGAGCCCCACCCTCAACAGAGCAATCGAAGTCACATTGCCCAGCCTCGCCCCCCTTAGTTCCTCCTTACCACCTTCATGCCCTGTCTCCACAGTCTGATGTGTGATGTGTGGAGGGTCCGGGCTGTGAGGATTATGGCAGTGGTGACTTTTCCCAGGAGAAGCTGGGACCCTGTTTACTAGAAGGTTTTAAAATTTCTGTACTTTTAGGTGACAGGAGACATGTGGCCTGGTCAAAACACAGAGAGCTGCACTCTAAAAGATCTTTAAACATAGTAAACATACCTTGTGTGCCACAGACTACTCCCAAACACAAGGGGACAAGTAATACCTCTAAAACACTTAAGTTGGCTTTATTAAACGTTAGATCTTTAGCTGGGAAAACATTTTTAATTAATGATTTAATCACTGAGCACAGCCTTGATTTTATGTTTTTAACTGAAACTTGGTTGGACCAAAGTAACAGTGGAGCTGTTCTCATCGAGACAACCCCTCCTAACTACAGTTTTATCAGTGAGGCCAGGGTGAGCAGGAGAGGAGGAGGGGTTGCTGTCTTATTTAATGAATCATTTCAATGTAAGCAGCTATCTCCTGGAAGTTTTCAGTCTTTTGAATATGTGGCTTTACAGCTGAAGGCCCCATCCAAAGTTGTGTTTCTTAATGTTTGCAGGCCTCCCAAATACTGCACAGACTTTTTTAATGACCTCAGTGAACTGCTGTCTGTGATCTGTGTTGATTTTGACTGTGTAATTATTGTTGGGGATTTTAACATCCATGTGGACAACCCTCAGGACAAAGGGACTAAAGACCTGAGTAACACTCTGGGCAACTTTGGGCTGACTCAGCATGTAACAGAGGCCACACATAATAGAGGACACACTCTTGACCTACTGATCTCCAAGGGCCTGAGCATTTCAGAGGTTACTGTGTCTGATGTGGGCGTGTCTGATCATTACTGTGTTTTCTTTGAAAGTAAAATCTCAGCCCACATAAATATATCAACAGCAGTGATCACAAAACGGTGTATAACTGAACACAGTAGTGCAATTTTTAACCAGGTCTTCCCATTAACACCTGACCTGTCCAGAGGGTCAGTCAATGAGCTCGTCAATAGCTTCAATGTTAAATGTAATGGACACTATTGCTCCCATTAAGGTGAAGGTTATCTCTGGAAGGAAAAAGTCTCCATGGAGAAACTCCACACTAGTGAAAAATGAAAAAAGAGAGTGTAGGAAAGCTGAGCGCAGATGGAAAAAAACAAAACCTCCAGGTTCATTATGACATCTATAAAGAGAAACTTCACAACTATAATTTACAACTCAGGAGTGCAAGGAGGTCCTACTTCTCTGATATCATCACTAAAAACAGCCATAATGCTCGGGTCTTATTTTCTACAGTTGACAGGCTAACAAACCCTCCTGTGTCAGTTGCAGCTGAACTTCATTCGACCATGGCCTGCAATGACTTTGCCAAATTCTTCACAGAAAAAATCCAAAAAATTAGACAAGCAATTGGTACATCAACAGCAGATCCAGAATATGTACTGTGCCCACCGAAAAACTGTTTAAACACCATGAAACAGTTTCACCCTATTAACAGCAAAGACCTGGAGGACATCTTAGGTCAACTGAACTCCTCCTCCTGCTGTTTATATGTCCTGCCAACAAGTTTTTTCAAAAAGGTCTCAAAGACTTTGGAGTCAGACCTGTTACAGATCGTCAACTTTTCTTTAATATCAGGCATGTTTCCAGAACCACTAAAAACTGCTGTAATAAAACCTATACTGAAAAAGGACAATCTTGACAAGACACAAATGAACAACTACAGGCCCATCTCAAATTTCCCACTCTTAAGTAAGATCATTGAAAAAGCAGTTTCAATTACTTCTTAACCCTTGTATGGTGTTCGGGTCTGTGAGACCCGTGTTCAGTTTTTTTCAAAAGAAAAATTAAACAATTAATTATTTTTTCACGTGTAAATGTGTTGTGTCTTTCCACTCACTCCACTTGATTATAACTGATTTATTTATAACATTTTATATAAAAGAAAAACGAGAAGCACATTAATTCATAAATGTGATCTAACAAAGGTAAAGGGAAAAAATTAACCATGTTTGCTGTTCATATGTCTTGTAATTGGGATGAAGTAAACATCTGTTGAGTAATTTAACATAAAATTGTTTGATAGTGTTAATTTGGAAAGCCAAAACTCTAGCGGGTCCACCAGACCCATGAACACTGGCTGAGTAACAAAAATACGAACACCACACAAGGGTTAACACAGAATAACTGCTATGATGCCTTCCAGTCAGGTTTTAGACAGAACCACAGCACTGAAACCGCTCTGACCAAAGTGTTCAATGACATATGTCTGAATACAGACAGTGGAAAAATGTCAGTCTTAGTTTTACTGGATCTCAGTGCAGCATTTGATACAGTTGACCACAACATATTACTCAAAAGACTGGAGAACTGGGCAGGTCTTTCAGGAACTGTACTAAACTGGTTCAAAACATACTTAGAAAACAGGAAATACTTTGTATCAATAGGTAACTTCACATCTGAGCAGACAAGTATGACATGTGGAGTTCCCCAAGGTTCCATCTTGGGACCCTTTCTGTTTAACATTTACATGCTCCCACTGGCACAGATTATAAAGAACAACAAAATAAACTACCACAGCTATGCAGATGACACACAAATATATATCACAATGTCACCAGGAGACCAGGCTCTTGGTAAATGCATTGAGGAAATTAATTACTGGCTGTGCCACAATTTTCTCCAGCTAAACAAAAACAAAACTGAGGTAATAGTCTTTGGTGCCAAAGAAAAACGATTACAGGTCACCAGAGAACTTCAATCTATACACCTAAAAACCACAAACCAGGCCAGAAATTTGGGTGTAGTGATGGATGCAGACCTAAACTTAGAAAAACACATTAAGACAATAACAAAGTCAGCTTACTATCACCTCAAGAATATTTCAAGGATAAAAGATCTGATGTCTCAACAGGACCTGGAAAAACTAGTCCATGCATTCATCTTTAGTAGGCTTGACTACTATAACAGCATCTTTACAGGTCTACCTAAAAAATCAGTCAGACAACTACAGCTCATTCAGAACTCTGCTGCTCGAGTCCTCACTAAGACCAAAAAAGTGGACCACATCAGTCCAGCTCTGAGGTCTTTACACTGGCTGCCTGTCCGTCAGATGATAGACTTTAAAGTTCTGATGCTGGTCTATAAAGCTCTGAATGGCTTAGGACCAAAATACATCAGTGACCTCCTGACCCAGTATGAACCTTCCAGATCCCTCAGGTCATCTGGATCTGGTCTTTTATCAGTTCCCAGAGTCAGAACCAGACACGGAGAAGCTGCATTCAGCTTTTATGCTCCTTATATCTGGAACAAACTCCCAGAAAGCCTCAGATCAGCTGAAACACTCAGTTTATTTAAATCCAGGTTGAAGACTCACCTATTCTCAGCTGCATTTGAATAAAGCACCAAATCCACACTTTTAAGCTTAAATTTCAAAACTTACATTTAACTACTGATTTTATCTATTGTTCTGATTTTATCTGTTTTGATTTTATATACTGTTTTGTTTGTTAATTAGTTTGTTTGTTTGCTTGTTTTAATCAATTTTAAATCATGCTTTTTATTTGTTTTTGTTTCTAATGTCTCTGTAAAGCACTTTGAATCACATTGTTGTTGAATTGTGCTATACAAATAAACTTGCCTTGCCATGCCTTGCTTCTGGGTTCGGGTGGCGTTTGGGTGGTGACCCTAAACTCTGCAGCTTTTACTTGGAGCTGTTGAACGTTGACCAGAGGCAGATGTATTGGGGCGTGGTGTTCAGTTTGAAGAAGGGCTGCGACTCACAAGGACTGAAAATGCAGAAGTGTTTTATCTGTGCTGTGATGCAACATCAGAGGCAGGAAATCAGCAGAAAGTCATAAACGCACACACACTGAGCTGATCTCAGTAACCTCTGACCTCACAGCTTGAACTGTGACCACATTCAGCACACACACATTATTAGAATAAGACATACTCTCAGGTAAAGGTACCGGTCGTATCTCAGGGATGTTGAAGTGTGCTTACACGGTGGGCTGGACCGGTGAAGCAGTCCTTCCTGTCTCAGTAATGACTACACGTCTCATCCCTGACACTTTCTTTTGGTAGCTCATTCGCCAAACTGTCCTAGATTAGCCCAAGGTTTCAATAAATCAGAAAATGTTTACCTATAACTGGCAGGCGGTGCTAGTTGCATGCTCTCTTTACACAGAATGCATCTTTAAAATCCTTGATGCTGGTTTCACCAACTGGTATTCCAGGAAAGTGCAGTCCAGCGTTTGGCTAACGTCAGTGGCTCACAGCTCCTGTGGCTTTTTAACAAGTCCATCAAATTCCCCGACCACTTCGGGGGGCTGTTACAGTCAGTGGTTTGAGGTGAAGCTGAGAAGAATAATGGCTTTTTTCTCAACCTGAACACAGATAAAGGCTCAGCCATGCTTCACGGGGAGGACAGCTGTACGGCAGTAGAAGATGGTGGTGAGGAGGACCAGCACCGGCCTCTTATCCTGGAAAGAATTGAGAAGGAAACGGGAAGAACCTGGAGAACGGTTTTGTCTCAGCGGCTCAGGAAGCACTGCTCCTGCACGCCAGAGAAGGCCAAATCCAGAATCCTCAGCTTCTTCCCGGTTCTCCAGTGGCTGCCGCGCTACAAGCTCAGGGACTGGATCCTGGGGGATGTTATGTCAGGAGTGATTGTTGGAATCCTATTGGTTCCCCAGTCCATAGCCTACTCCTTATTGGCCAACCAGGATCCCATATACGGCCTGTACACATCTTTCTTCGCTTCCATCATCTACGCCCTCCTGGGCACTTCCAGGCACATCTCGGTGGGGATTTTTGGAGTGCTCTGTCTGCTCATTGGCCAGGTGGTGGACAGGGAGTTGGCCCTGGCGGGATACCTCCCGGAGAGCAGCCTGAGTGGGAATGACAGCAGTGTCCCGTTGGCTGGAAATGACAGTGGTGTGGTGGGATGTGACCGGAGCTGCTACGCGATTGCCGTGGGGGCCACAGTTACCTTTACTGCTGGGATTTACCAGGTAAGTGTGCAGGGGCACATGTGGGCTTTAATGACTGAGCATAGAACGACACTACCTTACTTCTGCTCATCTCTTTCAGGTGCTAATGGGCCTTCTGCAGGTGGGCTTTGTGTCTGTCTACCTGTCGGACTCCCTCCTCAGCGGGTTTGCTACAGGAGCCTCCTTGACCATCCTGACGTCTCAGATCAAGTACCTGCTGGGCCTGAAGATCCCCCGTCCTCAGGGCTGGTTCACTCTGTTTAAGACATGGTACGGCCTGCTGAGCAACCTCGGGAACACCAATGTGTGTGACCTCATCACCAGTCTGGTGTGTTTGGCAGTACTCATACCTACGAAGGAGCTCAATGACCGCTTCAAGTCCAAGCTAAAGGTAAAAGTGTGGCGATATAACACTCCAGTAAAACTAAAATTAAACCTCCTTTTGGCACCGTCGGCCCTAAGGATGCTGTTGGTGGCTCACCTGGTCATTTTGTGAAATAAACTCAACTGTTGGTTTGTTTCCTTACCGAACACATTTCCCTTTGTAAATTTATTATTTATTTATTATTATTTGTATAATTTTCCTTATTATACAAATATTCATTCTATGAAAACAAAAAGCACCCTGTTTCTACCTGTGTGGTTTACTCTGTCCTCGCCCTCACCTGTCCTTCTCTAGGCGCCGATCCCATTCGAGCTCTTTGTGGTGATAATTGCCACCCTCGCATCTCACTTTGGCCATTTCAACACCGAATATGGGTCAGGTGTGGCTGGGGCCATCCCCACAGGCTTCCTCCCTCCTCAAATGCCCACGTGGTCTCTGATCCCCAACGTGGCCGTCGACGCCTTCTCCATCGCCATCGTGGGATTCGCCATCACCATCTCACTGTCGGAGATGTTCGCCAAGAAGCACGGCTACACGGTGGATGCCAACCAGGAGATGTATGCCATCGGGTTCTGCAATATCCTGCCATCGTTCTTCCACTGCTTCACCACTAGCGCCGCGCTGACCAAAACCCTCGTCAAGGAGTCGACCGGGTGCCAGACGCAGCTGTCAGGGCTGATCAGTGCTCTCCTCCTGCTGCTGGTTCTTCTGGTGATCGCGCCGCTCTTCTATTCCCTCCAGAAGTAAGAAAAGCAGGACGTCAGTCTAACCTCTAAATGATTGCTAACTAGTCTTCTTGCAGACTGACCTCCTGATGAGGTCGTTCGAGTCTCGATCTTAAGTTTTAATCGGAGCAGCTTTTATGGCTTGTGCCGTCTTTACCCCATCACTCCTTCAGCTCTTCTATGCTGAGGACGTTGATGCAGGTAGAGGCCACAGCTGTGTGTAAGCTTCTGATAGGCTGCGGTGATCCTCACCTCTCTCCTCTCCTGTTTCTGCTCAGGTGTGTTCTTGCTGCCATCATCGTGGTGAACCTCCGCGGTGCTCTTCGAAAATTCACCGATATTCCCTGCATGTGGCATGCCAACCGCATCGACGCCTTCATCTGGCTGATCACCATGGCAACCTCAGCGCTGGTCAACACGGAGATGGGGCTTCTTGTGGGGGTTTTGGTGTCGGCTTTCTGTGTCCTGGGCCGAACTCAGCGGGTCCAGGTCCTGAAGCTCGGCCGGGCTATGACCAGGGAGCATTACGAAGATCTGGCGTCTTACAAAGGCCTCCAAACGCACCCCGACGTGGCCATCTTTAGATACGAAGCGCCAATCTACTATGCCAACCAGAGCCTGTTTAAAAAGTCTCTGTACAGGTGTGTAGGACTTGACCCTGTGAAGGAGAAGAGCCGCCGTGTCAAGTTCCAGAACAGCAAACTGCAGGAAGAGGCTGCCGGAGTCCCAACTAGCAAAACGGACGAGAAAGAGGCCGAAGCTCCTGCAGCCGTCACCCTGATGATGGACACAGCCTCCCATTACTTACGCAGGATAGTGATCGACTGCAGCGCCGTCTTGTTCCTGGACACTGCCGGAGTGAATGCTCTAAAGGAGGTCCGCAAGGATTACGGAGAGCTGGGGGTGGCGGTGGAGTTGGCTCAGTGTAAGACCTCTGTGCTGGACACGTTGGAACGAGGAGGATACTACTGCAACCAAAAAGGAGGCGACGCAGGAGAGAACCGCATGATCTTCTTCACTATCGAAGACGCCGTCCGCCACGTCGAAAGCCGCAGCACTCCTAACGGAGACTATAAGTCCTAAAGAGACAACACGTCTATGTTTACATGTCTGCAGCGTGTGGCTGCACAGATGTGCCTTTGTAACAGTTTTCTGAAGTCCTACCTTCATCTCAGGTTTCTGCATCCAGACAGGTGATCAATCACCACAGTGTGAACGTCCATGTACCGATAACTCACCTGTGGACTGTATAAGAAGAACCAGCCACCCACGAGGAAAGAATACCCAGACCCTACCTGACAGCTTGAGTCTGTGTCTAAGGCAGACTCAGCAAGTTTACATCTGCATAGTACAAGTGCTGCACAGTGTAAAATATGTGTTTTATACTGCACGTGGGAAATATGTGTTTCATAATGCACAGTACTGCACAGTGAGTACAAGTACTGCACAGTGTGAAGTTCAATTCAATTCAACTGTGCAGTTGGAAGTGTTCCCAACTGCACAGTACAAGTACTGCACTCTGTGTACAAGTACTGTACAGTGTGAAATATGTGTTTCATAATGCACAGTACTGCACAGTGTGTACAGCACAATGTGATATGTGTTTTATACTGCAGAGTACAAGTACTGCACTCTGTGTACAAGTACTGTACAGTATGACACTGGTCATGCCCTAGTGTTGTTTATAGAAACCAGAGCCGTATTCTGACTTAATTTTTAGATACTGAGTTGGAACGATGCACGTGCACATGTTCAGGATGACGACTGGGGTTAGGATTTAAAACAGGTGTAAATGATTTAGTATTTTTTTTTGTTGGTTTTTTTTATAAGGTATAAACTGGATTTTTTGCCACAATCAAAAACGATCGTAATCGTCTGCTGTTTCGTGTTTGGGTCCATCAGTCCAATCATGATTGACGCCTCAGGGCAGGAAGTTTGAAACACATGTAGAAAAAAGCAGCAGCTCTGCTGCTCTGAGGAGAGACATTGGAGGTATCTAAATGCTTTAGATTTTTAGATCAGAACCCTGCTGGATAAAAACATAGATTCTTCATATGTGCTTAATAAGAAGCAGCCATCCTGTGCCTGAACATGAATGTACGTGCAATGACCCGAGGAAGCATTTGTCTGTTAGCACTGATCACAGGTGTATGCATGTGCTTCCAGATCCTCTGACAGACGAATATTCCTCCGGTGAGGATGAGAGACTCTTCCTGTTTAACTGTTAGCTGCAGTCACATGACCTTGGCCTGTGCCTTCTTTCTGTGAATCGGGTAATGAATTAGGCAAAGTTCGAGTTGAAGAAAAACAAAAGTGCAGTGTGAGATTTCGAGGTTGCTGTGATGTTGATTCGTGGGGGTCAGAGATCATGGGTTGTGCCTTAGTTAACCTGACCCCCCCACCCCCCCCCACACACACACACACGATGAACATAGCCTCCCGTTACTTACGCAGAGTAGTGATCGACTGCAGCGCCATCTTGTTCCTTGACACTGCCGGAGTGAATGCTCTAAAGGGGGTCCACAAGGATTACGGAGAGCTGGAGGTGGCGGTGGAGTTGGCTCAGTGTAAGACCTCTGTGCTGGACACGCTGGAACGAGGAGGATACTATTGCAACCAAAAAGGAGGCGACAACACACACACACACACACACACACACACACACACACACACACACACACACACACACACACACACAGCAGAGAGGGGTTTTGATGTACTTTCTGTAGCTTTAATGAAACCTGCCTCAATAAACTTGGTAGCATTATTATTCATAGAGCACTTAATTATTAGAAAGGCCGAAGTTAGTTCTTAAGCAGATGTATTCTACAGTTTTTTATTATGAGAAAATTTTTTATGTATACGTGTTTCTGAGTATGTGCCTAAAGCTTATGCACTAAAATTTTGTACATGAGTTTTACTGTAAAGCAGCACAATCCTGGCAGCAGTTTTACTCTTTGCGCTTTTCAAAGCTGTTTTATTAACTTAAATATCCAAACTCTCCATCCTGCTTCCATCTCAAAGGGTTTAATCATGATAATCAGATAACTGAGCGGCTTATCTCAGCTGAGACCAGAAAAGTTTTTTTGCTCTTGACCTTTCAACCCTGCTTTGTTTAATGTATGTTCACAGCACCAACGTTAAGTTTTAATGCTTGAACCTTTTAACTAGCTGATCAGGGTAAGAACAGAAGTTTGTTCTCAATGCAAAAGTGTTGCTGAAATGGAGCGTGCTGATATGCAGTGATGGAAGATTTTAAACTGAGAAAATCTTTGTAGAGTTGTTTTTATACTGGGTGTATGTGACAGGACGTGGCGTTTCCAGCCTCTGTCCTTGCTAATTTAAAGCAGTAGTGGTATATATTTTATAGCTGTTTTTACAGAGAAAATCAAAAAGAATTATGGATTAGTTTTGCTGCAGAGTTGTAAAAGTTGATCACACAGCTGTTGATGGAGGTGAATATGCTTGGTGACGCGAGAGTTTCATGTCGTTCTCCCTGAATGCTTGCCCGAGCAGCTAAACACACACGCGGTGCTTTTAGAGAACAAAGTCCTCGCTTCTGTATCTAAATGTTAAACAGAAAAACATGACGTAAGCTCCCATTTATTCCAATCAGCTTATTTAAGTTTATTGTGTATCCTGGTATCAGAATGAAGCTGTGTTTTACTGGAAAATAAAATCCTGTCTGATTCCTCTCTTGTTTTTCTTCATTACTGCATTTACATAGCCAGCTCTTATTCTGTAACAGTGGTTTTCTGTGTGACGATTTCCTTCATTAAACCAAAGTTAATGCACTTGATGAGTCCAGATGAGAAAACAGAAGACCTGCAGTATAAAAAGCAGTTTTAAAGTGGAGGGAAAGTAAAGAGAGACTCGTTTGGTCTGTGGGGAGTTTCATGGTACTGAACAATAATTGTAGAAAAGATGGACGATGCCACAGCACTTCCTCCCATTGCACAAAAATGAAGCCAAAATACCCCTCTTGTGGGAGCTGCCGTGTTGCGCTTTTGGAGCTGGAGTCTGGCTGGTAGAGACTTGAAGTGAAGTATCTGTGTGACCCTCCCGCCCACACACCCACTGGACGTGACCGCAAACACACCTATGGGCTCAAATTGTGGTCATAAATATTTTTTACTTGTAAATCAGGATTTGTATGTGTTTTACACACACAAATTTGTATTTGGTTTACACATACAAATTTGTGTGTGTGTAAAAAATATTTGTGTGTGCACATAGCAAAAAGATACATGTGAAACTGCACTCAAGTTTCAACTTACAAGTACGAATTTTGACCCTATTTTTCTTCCTTTCAGCTGATTGGTCAATGTCATGTCAAACTGACACAAACTGAACTATCCAATCAGAGAACAGATGGGTTTGGCTGTCGAAGGGATGCTTTACTGAGTTCCAGGTCCTTGAAGGGTAATACAGTTTGAAGCTGGAGGATCTTTATATAAATATAAGCTAGGTCCTTTAACTTTTGGTAGCTGTTGAAAGGATACAGTTGTAGTATACCAGTGTTCAGAAATACCATTATTACTTTAGTATTACTATAACACAAAATCACAGTTCACCCAGGACCACTGCTATGAGTCATACTACTAAGCATCGGACGTGGCATGATCTGTGCTCACCGCTAACTAAGAGTGAAGGATCCTGAATTTGTTGCGCTGGCTGTTGAGCTCTGCTCGTATATTGTTTTTTGTGGTCTAGGTGTACTAGATGCACCTGATCCTTGTCGTTTCAAAACGTATCTCTCTGACTTTATGTCCTCTACGAGAGTTTGTGTTGTATTATGTTCAAATGTTTAATAAAAACGTATCGCTCATTCATAACAAGGAAAGCTTTGTAACTCTCCCGATTAGAGAAGAGTGTGTCATTTCCACATGCTTTTCCTCCGAGGTCGACCTCCCTTGAAAACGCTCTGGAGGTCCCTGTGTAAGCACGTCAACCTGTGAGAAAAAGTTTACTTGGACACCCAGATGTTTTCCTTCATGGTGTGGCGAGAAGAGACGTGAAAGGGCATTTATCCTTCAAGGACCTGCAGTTCAAAAAAGCGCCCCTTCGACAGCCAAAACCATCTGTTCTCTGATTGGATAGATCACTTTGGTCAATGTCATGTCAATCACAATCAGCTGAAAGGAAGAAAAATGGGGTCAAAATTCATACTTGTAAATTGAAACTTAAGATAAGATAAAACTTTATTAATCCCTCGGGTGGGTTCCTCTGGGAAATTCGGTTTCCAAAAAGCACAGCACTGACAGAAGTTACAGAGTTACAGAATATTTTATATACACACACACACACACACACACACACACACACACACACAAATACAGAGACAAATATAAATAAAATATACGAAGGGGATGAATAGAATAAATAGGAATAAAAATAAAAATACAAGTGAATTGCACATTTCAAGTATTGAGGTCTATTGCACCATTGACTATTAACAAAAGTATTGCACAAAGGTATTGCACAGTGAAGTGAAGAGGCACTACAGCTTAGTTGTTCCCCCCTCCTTTGTCCTCCTGTTTCCCCTCCAGAGAGGAGTTAAACAGTCTGATGGCGTGTGGGACAAAGGAGTTTTTAAGTCTGTTGGTTCTTGTCTTGGGGAGAAGCAACCTGTCACTGAACAGACTCTTCTGGTTGTTAATGGCCATGTGCAGAGGATGCCCAGCATTGTTCATAATGTCCAGCAGTTTTTTTTAGTGTCCTTTTCTCTGCCACTGTCACCAGAGTGTCCAGCTTCATGCCGACCACAGAGCTAGCCTTCCTGATCAGTTTCTCCAGCCTGGATGAGTCCTTCTTTGCAGCGCTGCTCCCCCAGCACACCACAGCATAGAAAAGTACTCCAGCAACCACCGACTGGTAAAACATCCTCAGGAGCTTCCTGCAGATGTTAAAAGACCTCAGCCTCCTGAGGAAGTACAGTCGGCTTTGGGCTTTTTTATACAGGTGCTCTGTGTTGCATGACCAGTCCAGTTTATTGTCCACCCACAGCCCGAGGTACTTGTACTTGTTGACCACCTCCACCTCCTCCCCCTCTATCTGAACCGGCAGTGGACCTTCTCTGGACCTCCCGAAGTCCACAACCAGTTCCTTTGTCTTTGAGGTGTTGAGTTGAAGGTGGTTTGTGTGACTCCATGCGACAAAGTTCCTCACCAGACTTCTGTACTCCTCTTCCTGATCATCCCAGATACACCCCATGATGGCCGTGTCATCTGCAAACTTCTGAATATGGCATAATTCAGAGTTGTAGCAGAAGTCAGAGGTGTACAGGCAGGCCCGGCCCTAACCAATCTGGCGCCCTAGGCAAGATTTTAGGTGGCGCCCCCCTAAATCGGCAGTGTAGTATGTACTCACAAGAAACCGAATAGCTTTGTCTTTGACCTTTTTTTTTTAAATTAAAGAAAGCAAATTCACAATCAGAATAATTAACAAGATAAAAAAATATATGAATAAATAAATGAATACAAAAAATAAAAAATGAATATATGAAATACAATAAATTTTACATACATAAACACAATAAAACGTGTCAACAAGTTGGATAAAATAAATTAAAAATACAATATAAATAAGGCAACAGGAACACCGCTTTATGCTGCTGCAAAACTGGTGGGTTGTGCTGCTGAGGTGGAGGCAACAGGAAGACCGCTTGATGCTGCTGCATCATGGCTGGGTTGTGCTGCTGATGCTGCATCACTGGTGGGTTGTGCTGCTGAAGTGGAGGCAGCAGTGGTAGATGTGGTAGATGGCCCAGGGGTGGGATTTAGAAACTTCAACAGTGCATCTGAAGAGAGGAGTATGTGACACCACTGAGTATTAAAGTCTAATAATAAAAGCATATGATTCCAGGAATAAAATGAAATGATATAATATAAATGAAAAACCAAAGAGATATATGTATGATGTTAACTGATATGCAAATTAGATTAGATTCAATTTATTGTCATCATTACAGTGAAATGCTGAATAGCAGAATGCAAAGTAACAGTATAATATCATATGAGAATGTTATGTTATGATTATCTTTGACCGAATCACAGCAGTGCTCATATTAAAAAACAGCATTCCCTCTCATGTGATATTGCTTAATTAACATTAATGATGTGCACTTTAACAACTAGGCTTACAACTATAATATATACAGGGGTGGAAAAGTGACTATTACCTGCAGGGTAAACGTTAGCTAACAATGTAAACAAAAAACACCTGCTTAAAAGATGAATACAAATGAGGAATGGTGGGAAAGGTGGGAGTACTGTAATTACCTAACGTTACATTATTATTTTCCATAAAAATTTAGCCCCCCCCCACAATATTAACTGACGTTAAAACAGTTAACTAGCTATTTATTGATTAGCAATTAGCGAATCATGTAACATTAGCTTAATGCTAAAAATTTAGGTTACTATCACATTCAGACAAATAATTTCATGTAGGCTAACGTTACCTACCTCTGTCTTTTTCTCGTTTCTCCTCCTCTTCTTTTCTCTTTTTTCTTCCCTGGGCACCTGACAGTTTTGGCCGTTTTGACATCTTGTGTTGATTTTTTGATGTGGTGACGTCCAAAAGGAACCATGATACGGGAAGGGAGGGGGCGCACCATGCGGGGAGGGGGAGGGGGGGGCGTAATGTTGTAACAAATAATATTTCTATTAAATAAGCTTTACTTTGCATTTTAATTAACGTGGGATTATTTTTTGTATTTAGAAATAATAGTACCAACTTTTTTTTTTTTTTTTTTTTCAACATTTGTGGCACTGGCGTGGCGCCCCCTGATGGACGGCGCCCTTAGCATTTGCCTATACGGCCTATGCCACGGGCCGGCCCTGTGTACAGGGTGAAGAGAAGAGGGGACAGCACAGTTCCCTGTGGTGCTCCTGTGCTGCTGACCACAGTGTCAGACGTGATGTCCTTCAGCCTGACGTACTGTGGTCTGTCGGTGAGGTAGTCGGAGAGTTTCACACATATTTTTTGGCTATGTCCACACAAAAATCGTTTTACACACACAAATTCTTTTTACAAATTGTTGAAATCTCCCAATTCTTTTAATCTTTGGGCTGAAGGAAGGACAATACTCGGTGTATAAATGCTCAATCAACAATTCTTTATTTCCATACAATTCAGCACTTATGAGCATAAGCCATCATGATGGGGAGACATGCATGAAGAGGGTCACAGCAAATCTCAAAATGGTGGCAGATTTCACGGCCTCTTATAGCTTCTGGCGACCCCCACCTAGTCATAAAAGCTACATCTTCACATGTTTTTCTAATTCTTAGCGAGACTGGCTCCTGACCTTGGCTCCCTGTTTTTCTGCTCTACAGAAGGTGGGGGTATGGAATGTGGTCTATCTCCCCTGTCCTAGACACAGAGTCTCCTGCATACAACCTTTCTCTTCATGATTCAGCAGTAAAACATGTCAAGAACACAGTGTGAGACATTCACAGCAGATCAAGGATACAGAGTGATGCACACTTATCTAATGAACTACTAAATGAATATGTTCTTTTAACCCAAAAGTATAATGAGACCTAAACTACATACACAGCACACCATCTAAACTAAAGGATAATATATGTCCTACAGCTGTTATCATAATTCAACTACCTTGACTACGGGCATAAAATAGCATATGTTTTACTAATAATCTTCACAAAATACAAATCCTGATTTACAAGTA